TGAAATATCTATACTTATAGGAAATTTCTTTGACTGTTCAGAACGATTGTTAATTATAACTTTCATTTTTTAATTTGGAAAATGAAAATGAAAACGAAAATAAATTTTTTTTTTCAAGTTTGATTTGATTATATATATGAAGATCATCTTTCTCTTTCCTCCCCAAAAAAAATAGTAAATAAAAATTTTTAAGAATTTTCATACAAAATTGGTAAAGTAAAAACCCATTTTAATTTGGTTCATTATGGGACATATAAAATCCTCAATACCTGATATAGAAAGATCCATTCATTATATAGAGAACAATGGCAACAAATGGTATAAACATCTTTATTTACTATTTAACTTTTTCAAGTTATGATCAACAAAGATCACATGAAATTTAGAATTTATAAAGAGTCCGGCAACAAAAAGCTATCCAAGAATTAATTCTTGAAGGAAGAGGAGATGTGATGGCAATAGATTGTTGAAAGATGGGAATGGAATAGTTTAGAATGAGTTGTGAAAATTGATTGATTAATTGATTGTAGGTTATTGGATAGTTGTATGGATGGTTTGATGGGAAAGTGTATTAATTTGGGTGGATCATGTAAGAATAATGCAATTTTATAAAGAGAAAAAGAAAGAATTAAGAAAAAAGTTGCTTGGAAGATTTGGAGAAGAAACAAAGATTCAATAATAACAAGATATCGCTGATAATAAATAATAATGAAAACATTTTAACTTTTTTTTTTAATAATATTAATATTAATGAATTTATAATCATCTATATTTATTTGTTTACTCATTATTATGATATTATTATTCTATTTTCTTCTTTACGCTCCTCCACTATTTTTAAAGAAAAAAAAGAAATTTAATATTATAATTTAATTATTCACTAATGTAATTGGTTTATTATAAGATGATGATGATAATACATACACAAGAATATTATTAATTGGAATATGAACTAATTTTACAAAAAATCCAATAAATCCCATTACAAAAAATCCCATTGCAACTGCTTGTGAAATCTTAATGAATTCTTTATACAATAATAGTAATAATAATAATTATTATTAAATAGTTATTCTTATCATTCATATTAAATATTAAATATTAAATTACCTTTACGATCAGGTTTAGTGCATCGATTTACAAACTGAGCGCCTTCTTTGACAAATTGTTTTGGCATCTCAGCAAACTCTTTTAATTGATCTGCCATCTTTATTATTATTATTGTGGTTGTTATTATTGTGTTGTTTTATTTATACTAGGAATAATAAATGTTTATTATAATTAATATATTATAATTAAATAAAATAATATTTGTTGTAAAATTTTGAGTAGGAAAATTTAATGCCAAAAAACATTTATATAATTTTTTAAATTAGTAAAACCACTCAAATCTCGCCACGAGGTTGGAAATCATAATAATGTACACAATGCAATGCAATTTTGGTTTTAAATGTGCAAGTGATCTTGTGTAATATATATATTAATACACATTTATTTTTTTATGTGAGAAGATGATCAAATTAATACATGTTTATTGAATTTTTTAATTGATTGTAGATCATGCAAAAATATAAAACGGACGAGTCCATTGAACCAATTCTAACTTGATACCATTGCCTTTTTTTTGGTTGTCTTCTCTTGAAAACTTTCTTTTTATTTATATATTATTAATTACTAACATAATACTCTTAATTTATTCATTCACCTTTAATTTTATTCTATTCTCCTTTTCCTCCAAGTAAATAATAATATTATAATTGCAATGTCTACTGTTACTATATTTTAATAGACTTCACTATCCAATCCAATCTTCATCTAGTTCCGTCATCCGTGTCATAGATATTCTGCCTTTCTGACCAAGGAAGTAAAGGCGCCGTGTAAATAATTATGATGCTGATGTTGGTGACGACGGAAAGCTAATGAAGAAATTGGTCAATTAATAAAAAATTTATTGATCCGAAACATAAAATATAATAGTTAAATTAATCAAGATAATTACAAACTACATACATGTATAAAATTGGAACAAAAAAAAGCCTCTCCTCATCGGTTCAAATTTTTTATCATCCAGATCGGCACTTTACCATGTCTTTCTTTCCTCTAACGTCAAACCTCTCACTCCTTGTGGTCGAATTTGTGATTAACGCGCGTTCATAATAAAATTTAAAATTGAAAGGATAAAACGTATAATAGATCAATTAACTTTTTTAATTGTTTGCTTAGAAAATTAACTAGAATGATGAGTCGTAAATTTATAATCACACTGCCACGGCTGTTATACAACCTTTTATTTTTCTAAAAAAAATCTATTTATTGTGTTGTAATTGATTTTAAAATCTTTTAACAATAACATTCAACTTTATTATTATTGCATCTTTATAAATAAATAATGAACTGAAAAATTATTAAGACAGGAAATGTTCACAGGACTTGAAATATCATGTTATAGAAACCTACCAAATCACCAATTACCAATTACCCATTATATAGTTCTCTTCGATAAATCGGAGAAACGGTAAGAAATGAGAAAAGAAGACAGATATTTAAACAAAACTTGGAACAAAAAGAAAGGAAGATTTAAGAAAATGAAGAGTCTATAAATTAAAGGTTGAATAATCCGAGAAATAGGAATTAAAAAGGGTATCGGCTGAAAGTTCATCTTTTACTGAGGCAAACAAAAGAAAAGCAAAAAAAATTCGAAGGAATTAAATTTGAAATATCAAGAAACGATGACGATATAGCAGTATAATAAATGATACAAAAACTTTGCAAATTTCCAAAAAGGAATGCTCACCAATTGAAAATTTTACTATGAACCGAAAGAAACTTAGCAAAAGAAGTTTTCAACAAATCATACTATTTTGACTTTAGACAACCCCAAAAACAATTCAGACACCCATATATAGTCGCGTTATAAGGATTTTACTATTATTTAAGTTACGCTTCATTATAACGAGTTCGGCTGTAATTTGTTTTTGTCTTTTTGGTCTGATTGCGGAAATTTTTTTCGGTTGAAATCATATTAAACATAGATACTTGTAATAACAGCATCCAGCAAGTTCCCTTGATAAAAACATTATGATTAGGATCCTAAATTCATAAAGGATGTTTCATTACTTCTTGTTATTGTTGATATTTTTTCTTCATCAGGCTGTTGTTGCTGTACAAAAGTATACGTCAGTTTTTTTACTTTTATTTGATAAATTTTTATTATCATCATTTGCCAAAGGTACTTGTGGTGATAACAATAGTGGTGTTGGTCGCCAAAACTAGTTTTGACTTGTGGCGAAATCTTTTGATTTTTGCATAGTTGCGAAATTCTATATTTTTTGGAAACTAACACTAGATAACAACGACGAAGAAGAGAAGGAGAAGAAAGATGTTGATGACAAGTGACAAAGAACGTGTTGACGACGAAGGTGCTTGTAACGTTGTTTTGAATAACCTCGATTCAATATTATTTAGTCTTGTCAAATAATCAATACCATTTTTTTACCATTACTATTATATAGGTACTTTTTGGATTCGAAAAAGTCAATTGCGTATGTATTTATCAATAAATTCTATCCAACACACAATTTCCTGAGCCACGGAGGAATATTTTAGTAGTATGCTCTGGAACCTTATCACGTCGTTATATATTGAAATCTTTACAAACCCTTTTTTTTTGCCATCATTTTTGAACACATTCCTGGTGAAATATCCAGTTTGATGTACCATCATCTATCTAATAATAATACTAAATGAAACATTGTCAGAAATATTAACAATCAAAATTTGATCATTCGAGGAAAGCTTACTCAAATTTTACCATCATCAAAACAAAAAGAACCAACAACCTTTAATTTATGGAATGTCTATATCATTTAGTCAAAACGCAACTTCACCA